TCAACCTATTAATCTCAGCATTCCGTTTACAAATTAGGTTAAAACCTCTTCTTAGTCCAAATGAGAAAAATGTATTAATTTAATATAACCTTAGAATACTTTGGATTTAGTTGCACTTATTTACTTTTTAATTGAATAATTTCTGATTAGGAAATATTTTTTTAATCTTTTTATAGAAACCTCTTATGTAGACTAAAGCATCCCACAATTTACATTTATAGTTAAACAATTCTTTTATTTTTGTGAATGAATCACCTCCTGGTTCTTATTTTTCAGCACAATAGGTTAAATCTTTCATATTCAAAATGAAAGTGCATGGAATCAGTTAATAAATAGGAAATATATGTAATACGTGTAAATCAAATACCAGACAATATATTTTTTGTATTTTTAGATTATTTTCATAAAGTTAATAATGACTAAGTATAAGGTACATCATAATAAATTAGTTGAAGACTCAGATTTTAATTAAAATAATCGAAGAGGGCCCTTGAGTTTTGCGTCCTGTCAAAATTAGAAGTTTATATTTCTCCCCATACAATACCATCTTCTAACTATCTCCTGCATTCAATTTTGTGATCTATATGAATACGTATTTTCGCTCTAATATTGTGACCATGTCACGATACCTGGTAAATCTAAATATCCTTGAATGCAAGCCACATTAACATTGGATGCCACTGACTGCCAGCTAAAAAAATTCATCATCTCAATGCAATTTTAGTGTAACTTTGAGAAACTAAAATTATGATAGAAATGGTTTGACCTCGTTGTCGAAAATTGTTATTGTTGTCAGGGCGACTTAGTAGAACGCGCCTAGTCCGAAGTCATCTGCCATAGTAGTTGTCATAATTCCCAGCATCAGAAAGTGGGCTTGGTACATTCTCAAACGTGTTGCCGGCATCGTAGTCGGCATCATCAGTAAGTGCTGCCATTCTTCGCCACAAGCTATTGACACGTCAAAGAGACAAGTGAAGTCAACGTTCTACCAAAAAAGGTTTCTCTATCACTCCTCTTTTTGTCCTAACCTATCTATCTAATCTTTACCCTCTTCTCCCACTGCCACCACATCACAACTTCTCACTTGTTTACATTCCACTCATCAAACTGTGTGCCTTTTTGTGGCAAATCTAGTGTGACCTCATCACACTTGCTATTCACCCCGAACCCCTCCCTTTTGATCGGCTGATCCGACTCAAGCCTTCAATACGGATCCCCTCATAGTCTCGTAGATCCGTTCCATCTCATTCTGGTTGACCGATTTCACTCGGTTCCAGTACCAGTAAGCATTTTACTCCAGGAGCAATTTATCAAGGGTCTAGAAGCACATACACTGTCGCTTCACTGAGCAGAGCGCCTAAGCTCTGATTGGCATGCTTGCTGATATCAGGCCTTCCCTTCATGGGACCTATCATTGATTAAATAAATGTAGAGTTCTGGGACAAATTAATGACAAATTGATGAGGATATTGCTCGGCAATCGCTAACAAATTAAAGTGATAGAATGTAACATACGGGCAGTGAAAAGCCGATGGCATAACAGGGATTAAGAAAGAACATTAAGGACGATGAAGGATTCACAAAAGTGGATATGCCGGCCTTCCTGCGAACGAACTCAAAATCTACGGCCAATGTTGAGGAAATATAATATATAGGTGACAATGAAAGAGTAATCAACACTTTTCACAAGTCTACCGACGCAACTGGAAATGATAGACAGAAATATATTGGCACATGAAGCAAGAAACATCAGAGGCTCTGCAGGAAGATGGATACCGAAAGATCGGACTTAACAGAACACATCGTGCAGACTAGAGACGAGATGAATTGGATGGAAACAGAAAGAAGGGTATGATATGGTGGACACCCGAGAGAGCGAAATATTAGGGAGAAAAATGACATCGTTTGGGAGACAAATCTAATGAACAGGAGATTTGAGGAAGGTAGAATTAGCGATAACTTTGTCTACTGCTTAAGCAAACTCGGGGAAGACAAGAATGGAATAAGACCAGCAAAAAGAAGACTCCTGGATCAAGAATATATCGCTAACCAGACAAAAGGGATCGCAAAGATGAGTGAAATCGTAGTCAGTTCGTGATGTACGTTCGAATAAACCAGTACAACTTTGGTGTCCTAGCAGTCAGGGAGCTGGGCGGACGGATAAGCAAACCGTCACGGAAATTGGGCGTTATGTCCAAAATGTAGTAGAAATCCACTTGAGATGCCGCATGCGACCGCAGGCGTCCACAGTGTGCTCAGATAACGTGGGTTTAAGATAAGTAACGGATCTACAAAGTGGATTGTGCCACAAAAGGCACACATTTTGACGAGTGGAATGTAAACAATCGTAAGTTGTGATAGGGTGGCAGTGGGATATGAGGGTAAAGAGTAGATAGATAGACAATGACAGAAAAAGGAGTGATAGTGTAAACGTTTCCAGCAGAAAAG